GTATTAGGTAACTTTCCCAGAATTGTGCAATCCTCACATCTGATGATGTCTTCATCAAAAGGCCAACTGCTGTTCTACTGGGGTCAACCCTCCCCACCCGCCTGCCTAGCTCTCCCCCTTTGGCAGCACCCCTTGGGTCTGCAGGGCTGACCTAGAAATTCATCTAGAGAAATTTGCTGAGATCAGTTTTGATGAAAACTGAGACGGCTCAGCAGCCTGCCATTCAATCATTCAACAGAAATCTATGGAACTCTCACTCCGTGCCATGCCCTGTGCCAGGCTCCCATCCGCTGTGAAAGGTGTGATGTCGGGGAGCTACATGATCCTATGGGGCACATAGTTTGGGCATCTGACCCAGTCTGGGGGAATGTGAGAAGTGGGCAGGGGAGGCTTCCTGGAGGAGGTGACATCTAAGTGGGATTCTGAAGGCTGAGGAGTCAAGCAAAGAGAGTAGGGGTAGATGAGGGTATTTGAGGTAGAAGAAAGCATATAAAAGACCCAGAGGCTGGGGGCAGGACAGAGCACAGAGGCTGGGGGCAGGGCAGAGCACATTCGGGGGCACTGCGTGTCATTCATCATGTCTGGAATTTGGATTTGGAGGTGGTGTGGAAAAGATGGGGCTGGCAAGGTAAATGGTGTCAGTTTATGAAGGGATACTCACAGGCATGCCAGCATTCCAGGTCACTCTCCTTTTGAATGGATCCCCTCCTATTCCATGCAACTTTGAGAAGTTCTGACCTTCCCCAGTATTTCCGAGGCTTCCGAGGGCTATTGTCTACGTGGCCTGGTCACTGCCCATCAGATCTCTCCCAAAAGCTGGTCAGCATGGTGGTGGCATAAACCCACCTATGAGAGCCAAAGAGTCAGCTATAGTTGTCAACTATGAGGAAGTTTCCAGCTGTTGCTGCCCAATCCCAGAAGTCCCATGTTTTCTCCTTCCCAGTGCTGGGCGTGGATCCAGGCTCAGCCTGAGCCTCTTCCATCCGGACCCCCAGAAGTTAACTCTTCAAGCTAGTGGGTAGCACAGCTGGAATCTCGACTCAGGCTCTCTGGTAGCACAGCCTCGCTCTGGTTAAAGCTCTGAGGTCGGTTCACAGAGCCAGAGATGGGGAATTGGGGGATGCGTGGACTGCAGGTCATCTGCTAGCCCTCACCCCATCCCCTAGGTGCCCCAACCTCTCACGGAGCCCCGCCTCCCCTCTTTAGCATGACCTCTCCTAAGCCCCTCAACTGCCTCCTCACCCATAAAAGTGGCCCCTGATAGCCCTACTTGGTCCACTAGGACCCCACCCCTTGTGGCAACGGCTCCCAGAATAAGGCTGGACCCCTGATCCCAGCTGTGGCTATCAAGTTCCTTCCTGTGGACTTTGGAATCTATGGGGGGCATGTTCATTCATGCTGGGAAACCCCACTTGCCCTGGTGCTAAACCTGTAATCTGTGGACTCTAACCCGGAAGGCAGTCCTGTTCTGCCTGCACCTGGAAGGACAATCAGCTTGACGGCAGAGTGGGAGGAGACAGCAGACTAAGAGGACGAGGAGAAAAGAGTGAGGGAGCAGCCCCGTCTCTAGGGCTTCTTCGTTCCCTATCCCTGGCCTTCCAAGGCCAGCGAGGTCCCTTCTACTTTCCTGCTCTTGGGTTCCGTGAGATACCCCTGTATTTGTAAAACAATTCTTAATTTTGGCTCAAGCCAGCTCAAGTGGGTCTCTTTTGCTTGCAACCAAAGAGCATTAGGTACATGGTAAGAGCTCCAAATTAAGGGGCCATTCACTTGTTCATCTTCAACTTTTGAGAGTGAAATGAGGCGCTATTAGTGATTACACTGGGACTACAGGTATAAACTGGGATAACGCAGGCAAACCGGGACATCTGGTTCCCCTATCTGTAAGTGAAAAGAAAAACACACAAATCACTTTCATCTCCTTTTGTTCTTCAGGCAATCTGGGAGGGCGTATTAGGCGGGGGTTGTCATTTTTCTCTCTGAGACAAAGTCCGTGGCAGTAAGCTGGTCCGAGGTGGCAGGGTTGGGGGGGCGTGGTGGGGATCCGGAGAGGCTCAGGCCCAAGAATGGACGTATTTTCTTTCTTGCCTGGTTGATGTGGAGGCGGAAAGCTGATTCTGGCTGCTGAAGAAGGTCAGGGCTGTGTTTCCCTTCGTTTCTTCTTGATAGATGAATGGGAAAAGGCCTGCTCTTTGATATGTGGATTTTCGAAGGCCAAGAGGGTTGGTGCCATTCCAGGAATATACTATTTTGTGGGCGGGACAGTGGGCAAGGACCTGAGGGAAGGAGTCAAGGGAGGCCTCAGAACAGCCCAAGTAGCCAGATGGCTGGAGGTCTCAAGAGCTCCAAGTGGCCAGGCTTGGGCCCCTGCCCGCATCTCCAGCCATGGTACTCGTAGGGCTGCTGCTGCTGCTGCTGCTGCCCTTGCTAGTCGGCACTCGCCTGCTGTGGGGCCAGTGGAAGCTCAGGAGCCTCCACCTCCCACCTCTTGTCCCCGGCTTCCTGCACCTGCTGCAGCCCAACCTCCCCGTCTATCTGCTTGGCCTGACTCAGAAACTCGGGCCCATCTACAGGCTCCGCCTCGGGCTGCAAGGTGAGCATCTGCTCCCTCCCTCGCCCCACAGCGGTGTGGAGGTGGGGTCCTCTCCCTGCTGACACCCTGCTTTTCCTCTCCCCCAGATGTGGTGGTGCTGAACTCCAAGAGGACCATTGAGGAGGCCCTGATCAGGAAGTGGGTGGACTTTGCCGGCAGACCCCAGATACCATCTTGTAAGGGGTGGGGGGCATTTCTTGATGGAAGAAGCAGGGGCTATGGGAGGCAGGGAAGGTCAGGCCCGGGGCTTCCTTGGTCAGTTCGACCCCCTGCCCCCAACCCCTACTCACAGACCAGCTGGTATCTCAGCACTGCCAGGACATCTCACTGGGAGACTACTCCCTGCTCTGGAAGGCCCACAAGAAACTCACGCGCTCAGCCCTGCTGCTGGGCGTCCGCAGCTCCATGGAGCCCCGGGTGGAGCAGCTGACCCAGGAGTTCTGTGAGGTGAGGCTCGACTCCCACAGTTGGCCCAGGTCAGCTTCACCCCTCCCGGCAGCCTCCCTATTTAGTTCATGCTGCTTCTCCTCAGCGCATGAAAGCCCGGGCTGGTGCCCCCGTGACCATCCAGAAGGAATTCTCTCTCCTCACCTGCAGCATCATCTGTTACCTCACCTTTGGAGACAAGGTCAAGGTTCTCTTGCCCTCACATAGGCTTGGGCCCCCCACCCCCCGCCAGCCCCTCCCGTACCCTCTCCTGGTCCTGAACCGAAAGGATTCCCTCCTTTTCTGGCAGGAGGACACCTTAGTACATGCCTTTCACGACTGTGTCCAGGATTTGATGAAAACCTGGGACCACTGGTCCATCCAAATTTTGGACATGGTTCCCTTTCTCAGGGTGAGGAGGTGAAGCCCCGACACACCTGGTCCTGGGAGACAGGGCGGAGGTGGGCAGAGGCTCCCTTCCCGGCGGCTAAACTCTCTTGCTGTCTGCCCCAGTTCTTCCCCAACCCCGGGCTCCGGAGGCTGAAGCAGGCCATGGAGAACAGGGACCACATTGTAGAGAAGCAGCTGAGGCAGCACAAGGTGGGAACCGTGCGTGCACCGGGCTCCTCCTCAGCTCACAGCAGTGATGCTACTGCCCCAGAGCTGGGCAGCTTCTTTGGCGCCCCACCAGTCCTGGACCTGCTGCCCCCTGCTGAACACCGCCCACCCCCCCCAAGCCAGGCACTCAGCCTGGCTCCTCCTCCCCTCTCCAGGAGAGCATGGTGGCGGGCCAGTGGAGGGACATGACGGACTACATGCTCCAGGGGATGGGGAAGCAAAGAGTGGAAGAGGGCCCCGGGCAGCTCCTTGAAGGTCACGTGCATATGTCCGTGGTGGACCTTTTCATCGGTGGCACTGAGACCACAGCAAACACCCTTTCCTGGGCTGTGGCGTTCCTGCTTCACCACCCTGAGGTATGCCCTGGAGGCAGGCGAAAGGCTCCTTCCTGGCAGCTTGGCCAGGGCAGCGGGAACCCAGCTCGCTGAACCCACCGTGGGCTGTGTTGGGAGGGGGTTGGGGGGGAGTGAGTCTGGGGCGGGCTGGGAGGGGGTTCTCCTACTTGGCACAGAGTCTCCGGTGAGCTGCTCCAGGGAGTGGTGGGAGGCTGGGCAGCCGTGGGTCGGCCAGCAGCACGGCTTGGGCCCCGGACCTCGGGCTTGCCCCACTTTCCCAGATTCAGCGGCGACTGCAGGAGGAGTTGGATCGCGAGCTGGGCCCCAGAGCCTCGGGCTCCCGAGTCCCATACAAGGACCGCGCTCGGCTGCCCTTGCTCAACGCCACCATCGCTGAGGTGCTGCGCCTGCGGCCCGTCGTGCCCCTGGCCTTGCCGCACCGCGCCACGCGGGCTAGCAGGTGACTCCCGAGGGGGGAGGGCTGAGTGGCAAAGGCCCCTGCGGGGTCCTGGCAGGCCTCTAACTTAACCCTACCCCTCAGCATCTTTGGCTACGACATCCCCGAGGGCATGGTTGTCATCCCCAACCTCCAAGGTGCCCACCTGGACGAGACTGTGTGGGAGCGGCCGCACGAGTTCCGGCCCGGTGCGTGGCGGGGCGGGTGCCCGCGGCGCGGGGGCGGCGGAGGCCGAGTGCAGGCGGCCGCTGAACTGCAGGTCCGTCTTTCCGCCCGCAGACCGCTTCCTGGACGCGGGCGCGAACCCCAGCGCGCTGGCCTTTGGCTGCGGGGCGCGCGTGTGCCTGGGCGAGCCGCTGGCGCGCCTCGAGCTCTTCGTGGTGCTGGGGCAACTGCTGCAGGCCTTCACGCTGCTGTCGCCCGCGGGCGCCCTGCCCTCGCTGCAGCCCCATCCCTACTGCGGCATCAACCTCAAGATTCAGCCTTTCCAGGTGCGGCTGCAGCCCCGGGACGGCGGAGGCCGGGGCGTGCGCGAGCACCAATGACCAGTGACGGAGCCCGGACTCACTGGCCTCGGTTTCTCCTTTTATTGCTCCCGTACAAACCCCTTCCCTCCCCCCTGTAAACATGGTGCTGTGAGATCGCGGGTGGAGAAGGCTTCCTCCGGCGGCTGGATGGTGAAGGTGGCCCTCGGCTCTTCTCTGAGCGCAACCCCTCAGTGCTCGACAGTCATAGTAGGGCGCTGGAGGGGTGAGCAGCGGCTCAGCCTCCCCTGCCCGGGGGCCGGTAGCTTCTTGGTCTCAGCTTCATTTCCGTGAAGGGCACGGAGAAGTCAAAGCCCTTCCAGTAGTACCAGCTCACTCCCTGGGAAGGGGTTGTCGAGAGAGAGAGTCAAAGCCTGACATCCCATCTGCTCCCACCTCTGCTCCCCTCTGGTGAGATGGTTCCCACAAATCAATCAAGGATCCTCCCTCCCTTTATCCTTCTTAAACCCTCAATTACAAAGGACTGAGGCTGAATCCTGAGCTGTCCCATTACATCCAATAAATCATTTCCTCGAGAAAACTTGCAGAGACTGGCATTACTGTTCCATTTCACAGACAAGGGCCCTGGGGCGCCGAGCGGCTCAGTAACTTGTCTTGTCACACCGTGCGTCACAGACACCCAGGCAGGCTGAGCCCCCGCTCCGTGCTGCCTCCTGGGCCTCTCACCTGGTGGTCCACTGTGCTCCCGTAGAGCCCGTTGAGGTTGGCATAGTGGCAGTTCTTATACCACCAGGCCCCTCGGTAAGAGACGGCGCAGGAGATGAGCAAGTTGTTGGGGTCTCGGTCACGGGCAGAGAAGACACTGCCGCTGTGGTAGCTCATGGAGTCCCCTGGGCAGGGCGTGGAAGGCGCAGTGAGGGCCTCTCCTCCCCATTCCCACCCCGTCCCTGCCCCCCACCCCCAGGCCCACCCCTCACCTGCAGTGCCGTGGTAGCCTTCCAGGTGGAGGCGGTAGTACTCATTGGCCGAGTCTACTTGGAAGGAGTCGTACTGGGCAAACACGGCCTCGTCCCCATCCCGCAGGTCCACACGCAAGGAGTAGTCGCCGGCTTTGGTCAGGCTGTGCAGGGCCTCGTTGCCTGGGGGTGGGAAATGTGTGCTCATCGGGGTCCTTGTGTCCACAGGGCCCCCATCCCTTCCCTGGTCCCACAATCCCTATGAGGCACTAACCCAGCCAGAACTCCTCGGAGATGTTCCCAAAGCCACGGGCATAGTCCTCCCAGTCTCTCCAGAAGTCAGTTTTTCCATCCATGCGGCGCTGGAACACCTGGAAGCAGGTGGGGACACCATCAGCCTATGGCCCCGGGCACAGCAACCCTACCCTGTGCAGACCCCTGGGCTTCTGACTGCCACCCACCAGCCAGCCACCCCCATCGGTCTTCATGTCACAAAAGACGTTCAGGGGCCGCTCGCGGTTGCCGTTGAGGAAGATGGTGGTGGTCCTTGAGGTGCTGACCCCGTTCTGTATCTCCTCCCCACAGTCCCGGGGGAAGGGGATCCGAAGTCCACCTGGGGAGAGGAGAGTGAGGGTCCAGTCCTTCTTCCAGATTCTAGACGCCCACTACACACTCAGCCCCCAACCTCAGGTCCCAGCGCCTGAGTACCAGTGGTGAAGGAAGTGGACACGGGGGGAGTGAAGCTGTGGTCCCACATGGCCCGGAGCCACGCGCTATAGAGGGTGGAGGGAAACAGGCCGTGAAGCTGGTGAGAGGTGACCCCTCCTGGGAGCAGGATCTCCTGTGGAACAGACAAGGGGCAGGTCAGAGGAGAGAGAGGTGGGCCCCACCCGGGAGGCAGAGGCAGCACTTCCCGGACTGGAGCCCAGGGAGGGAGCTGGCCAGAGTGGCAGGGGTGAGGGCACCTGGGTCTGTCCACCAGGGGTGTTGAAGCTGAGCAGGTAGCCAGTTGGGGGGACTTGGGGCGTGGTCCAAGTGAGCAGGGCTGTGCGGGGGGTCACCTCCTTGGCCTCCAAGTCCTGGGGGGCCTCCAACCCTGGGAGGGGGAGGAAGAGAAGATGGAGATGAGGCCCATCCTGGCGCTCTCGCTTCTTCCCCGCCCTCCAAGGCACCTCACAGACCGCACCTGTGGTGAAGGTGATGCTGGCTGGGGAGGTGAGGTTGGGGCCCCGAAGGCCATGCAGGGTCGCCGTGTAGTTGGTGTGGAGTACAAGGCCTTGCAGGGGGTAGTCCACGGCGCTGCCAGGGGCTGAGTCCTGTAGCGAGGGGGCTGGGAGAGCGGGTGCGGCATCAGCGGCTGCCCTGCCGGAGCCCAGCCTGCCCTCTGCTCTCCCACCCTGACCAGTCCCCTCCAGAGGCCTCAGCCCTGCTCACCTCCTGGGGCTGTGACCTTGATGTCATAGGTATCCACCGGGGCCTGGGGGGGCTGCCAAAGCAGCAGGGCGGATCCTTCCGTCAAGTTCAGTGCACGCAGCTGGGTGGGGCCGTCAGGAACTGGGAGAAGGGGGGGGCCCAGAGCTGTTCCCCGCTGCTCTCCCCATTCCTCGCCTTCCCAAACTCTGCTGGACCTCTCGTCTGCCATTGGCGCCTCCAACACCCCCTTTCCCTTTCCCCGTTCACTCTCAACTCCCACCCGTGCCCGCATTTTCTCCCGCTACTTCCTGCCCGGGTCCCGGACTGTCTCACCTGTGGTAAGGAAGCCTGTGAGAGGCTCACTCTCCTCAAAGCCACGGACAGAGACCACGGTCACGTTGTAGTGAGCGCCTGGGACGAGCCCCTCGAGTTTCTGGGTCCGGGCTCGGCCATCCACCTGAACACTCTGTGGCTCCCCTGAAAACACACTGGGCTGGGGAGGCGGCCGGGAAGCAAGGAGGAGCTGCAGGGTGGGCAGAGCGCAGGGCGCAGGAGGAATGGGGCAAGTGACACACGGGCAAGAGGGTATCACCTCCATCTGCCAGCTGGTAGGAAACTTTGAAGCTGTCCACTCTGGACGGCGGGGGCATCCAGCTGACCTTGGCTGACGTCTCCCCGATCTCGCTGAACTGGAGGTCACGGGGGCGCTCCAGAGCTGACGGGACAGATGTGCCAAGGAATCATGGTGAGGACAGAGGGCAGGGAGGCTCCTGCCCCGGGATTCCCACCCTCCTTCTTCTCCCTGGGCCCCACGGCCTCCGGATGTGCTCACCACCCCGCCTTTCCTCTAGGCCTAGAGATGGAAGCCGCTCCGCAGACTCCAAGCTCGTCACCACTCACCAACTTCCCCTCTGGCTGAGGCACTAGGTGCCACCCTAGGGAGTACAGAGACCCCCTACTTTGGGGCAGCATGTGTATGTGCCCAGCATGGGGCCTTACCTGGGCTGAGGGTCCGGGCTGTGCCCTGGATGCCGTCGGCCTTGTGAGGCCCGCGCAGCCCATACAACGTAAGGGTGTACAGGGTCCCTGGACTCAGGTCCCAGAGCACGGCCGAGCGCCGTGTCCCTGGCACCGTCAGCTCCCGCTGCAGCGGGGAACGTGGATGTAGCTCCAGGGCGCTCAGTGACGGGACCCCAAAGCGGAGCAGGAAGGAGTCAAAGGCCTCGGGTGGGGCCTCCCAGCTGAGCCGCAGCGAATTGGTGGTGACGTCCGTCACCGACAGGTGGGACAGGCGGGGCCCTGGCTCTCCGGGGGTCTGCCCAGCAGGAGCTGGCCCTGCAGAGTGGGTGGGAAAGAAGGCTTTGGAGACTGAAGCACACCAGCTAGGCGACCTGGTGCTAGATCCCTTCCACCACCCCGCCCTGGCCCTCATTTCCTCATCTGCGAAACGGCGCTAACGAGGGGCTGGCACCCGCGGGTCGGACATAAGGGTAACATGTGTAGAGCCGAAGGCTGTGCACGCGCCCCTTCCTCCCTCCGTGGCGCCCTCGCGGTGTTCCTTCCCCATGGTCACCGCTTCTGGGTGCCCCCTTTCGCCTCTTCAGTCCCAGACCAGAGGCAGGCAAGGCCAGGCCCTACCCTGACGGTACCTGTGGTGCCCTCGGCTGAGACGGGCCCCAGGCGTTTCCCTTCACGCAAGCCGTAGAGGAAGAACTTGTAGGAGGTGCTGGGCTCCAGGCCTGACACGAGGACCTTGTTCTGGTCGCCACCCACGAGCAAGGCCTGGGGCTCCCCACCTGTGCTCTGATACTGGACCACGAAGGAGTCAAAGGGGCCCTGGGCCACGCTCCATGAGAGGCGCAGGGAGTCCGGGGACACGTCCTTCACTGCCAGTGCCCCTAGGCGGGGCCCTTTAGAGGGCTCGGGGGCCTCCGTGGCCAGGTGCAAGGGTGCTGGCATGTCCTCTTCTGGGGCTGCGTGGGAGAAGCCCAGAGAGAAGCTGAGCGGGGCTGGGTGGGGGGCGGGGCCCTCCCACTCCATCTCACCCTCCAGAGAGGTGATCGGGGCTGGCCGAGGCAGGGGACCTCACGGTCCCGGCCACGGCAGCGTGGAGAGAAGACAGGGACTGAGGCTCTCCTAGCATCTTCCTTCTCTTGAATCTGCCACAACCCTGCTTGGGCACTGACTCCTGCCACCCCTTGGCCTCTCTTGAGTGCCAGCCCAGTGGCCCCATGACCTCTCTGTGGGGCTCCTTTGCTGTCTGAATCCGGTGCTTGCTTTCTCCTTCTTCACCCTGATGTCTCAGCGTGCCCCACTCTAGATGTCTGCACGGGCCCTGTTCCCTCCCCAACCTGCCAGGGCGCCTGGTGCCATGGCTTGAGGCAGGACTAACTCAGTCCCTCCCTGAGCTCAGGGCACGTGGTCCTCCCTGCCGAGAAGAGCTGAGGATGGAACTGGCTGGTGAACTCGAAGGGCACATCCTGCCAGCCAAGACGGCCCCGCCACCACCAGGCTGATTTGAGGTGGGTGTTAGGAAATCTGGAAGGGGAACTCCATCAGTGTAGCCACTCCTGTTGGTTTCTATGACCCTGGCCTGCTTTGTTTTCCAGTAATTTTCCATTTGAGAAAATGCTCCTGACTCATCCACGGGAGGGGGTTTGCCCTCATCTGGGCAAGGCCAGCGTGCCAGGAGGTAAGAGCCGCCCCAGTAGAGTAATGGGGAGCAGCTGGCAGCACTGGGGCTGGGCGGGGGTCGCAGATTAGGGACCACTGCCAGGGCTTTGCCTTGCCACCTGTCCTGGCTCCTGCTTCGGACTGACCCCTCGATCACGCTGGTTCCGAGGCTCTTCCTCCTCTGAGCCCTGTGCAGGGCCCCCTTACCGCTCTACCTCGCCCACTCGTGCCAGGCCTTCAGCACAGAGGTGTGAGGACACCCACTCAGGCCGGCTGGCTAGGACCAAGCAGGACAGCCTCCTGCTCACCTGTCATTCCCAGGACAGAGACGGGGCCCAGGTGCTGTCCTCTGAGGAGCCCATAGAGCAGAAACTTGTATTTCCTGCCAGGCTCCAGGCCCTCTATGGTGACCTCCCTCTGGTCTGCGGCCACAGGCACCACCGAGGGCTGCCCATCTGTGTCCCTGTACTGGACCACAAAGGAGTCAAAGGGGCCCTGGGCCACCGTCCACAAGAGGCGCAGAGAATCCGAGGTCTCATCTGTCACTGTCAGCTCCCCCAGGCGGGGTGGGCGCTGCCGCTCCTTCTTCAGGGGAGCTGTAGGGAGAGCGGGGGCGGAGGGAGAAAACCTAGTTAAGAGCTGCCTTTACCTCAGCCCCGGCAGCTTCTGGGGGGAGGGAGGGTCAGCCACCTGGGGAGACAGGCAGGCTGCTCCAGCCCTGCCTTGTACGAAGGAGCCCAGATTCCTCCTCTGGAGGCCGCTGCCCAAACTCCTTCCTGCCCCCACTCCCCCACTCTGAGATCAGCATGCAGAAAATGCATAAAAGAGCACCTCATGAGAGAGTTGCGGCTGGGATTGCAGGAAGGGCCTCAGTTTCCCTCTGACCCCCAGTCCCCCAGAGCAGGAGTGTGGCCAGAGCTGAGAAAGGCTCCCAGAGGGTGTCTGGGTTGTCAGGGAGATGCCCCCAAATAGTCAGAGCTGGGCGGGACAGCCAGCCAAGCTCACGGGCTCCCATTGCCCAGGCATAAACTCGCCCTCACTCACCAACAGCCTGGGCCCGCCCCTCCACCTGCTTCCCCAGCTCTGCACTCACAGCACTAGACCAGGGCGGCTGGGTCGGGCAGGGGGAGAAGCCAGGGGCAGAGCTGAGCGGACAAAGGGCAGAGCAGAGCACAAAAGAGACTTGTCTAGGTGGGTGTGGGTACTGACTGATGGGGGCTGGAGAAGCCTGTATCCAGTCTCCACAATGAAGGTCTGGGGAAGAGAATTACGGAGCCTGAGAGCCCCAGGCCCCAACTGGCTGTGCGCCCCATCCTTGTCTGGCCAGGGTGACTCATGGTCCTGGAGGTGGGGTAAGGGTCAGTGACCCACCTCCATCCCTTCCTCGGGGGCTGAGTATTGGGCACAAGACACCAGATTTTTCCATAGTCTTTTTGCAGCCAAACCCTCCCATATTTTCCACTTCTTGCCATAGGGCTGGAATGAAGGGAGGAAGATGTGAACATTTATTGAACCCCAGCAGATTTTAGTCATAACCATCATGCAGGTGTGGAAACTGAGGTTCAAGGAAAAGAAGTGGCCTGTTGAAGGCCACACAGCTGGCAGTCAGAATTTGAACACAGGCCCGCTTGGCTCCAAAGTCTGAGTTCTTCTTATTACGCTGCTAATCCGTGAGTGAAGGAAACGAATGCTTGGAACAGCGCCTGGCATTCAGCAGGGACTCAATACATGCTTGCCTTTCGTGTTAGGGTTGTCATGCCAAGGCTGAAGGGAGGAGAATAAACTTTGCGGGAAGGCCCCGGGGCCAACTCTGGGGGCTCATATGAAAGGAAGCTCTGGAAAAAGGCGGGGGGGGGGGGGGGGGGGGGGGGCAGGGCCAGGGCTCACCCGTGCTGCCTTCAGCAGAGATGGGGCCCAGTCGTTTCCTGCCTCCCAGCCCATAGAGCAGAAACTTGTATTTGCTATTGGGCTCCAGGCCGGGGATGGTGATCTCGCGCTGGTCTGAGGCCACAGGCACCACGTGGGGCTGCCCGTCCCTGTCCTTGTACTGAAGCACGAAGGAGTCAAATTCGCCCTCGGGGACCGTCCAGGAGAGGCCCATGGAGTCTGGGGTCACGTCCGTCACTGTCAGCTCCCCCAGGCGGAGAGAAGGTTTAGTGTCTGGGACTGGAAAAGAGAGAGGTGCATGGAACGTGACAGAAATGAAGCCGACAGAGCCTCCTCGGGGCGCTAGGGCTCTGGGAGCTGGTTCTGGGTGCTGGGAGGGGTGACCAGGTCACATGTCAGGAAGAGGGAAGGCAGAGGAGTAGGGATAAAAGAGGAGCCAGGCAAGAGAGCACGTGTCCCTCGGGATGTAGGAGGAGTACGATGGGAATGGGGGGTAACGGGGGTACTCAGGACCTGGATTTCACTGGACCCAGTAAATAAATGGGTCTGGAGTGTGGAGCACAGAAACGTGAAATTCCACAAGGGAGTGGAGGATGGTCGAGGGCTCCAGGGTTAAAGGCGGCCTCCAGCCCTCACTCACGGGTCTTTGCGTCTGCAGAGACTGGACCGTGTTGTTTCTCATCCTGGAGTCCAAAGAGTAGGAACTTGTACTTGTGGCCCGGGGCCAGACCCGAAACCGAGACCTCTCGGAGGTGTCCACCCACGGGCACTGCCTGGGGCTGCCCCTGCACATCCTTGTATCGGACCAGGAAGGAGTCGAAGGGGCCCTGGTCCACTGTCCAGGACAGGTGCATTGTGTCTGAGGTCACGGCTGCCACAGCCAGCTCCCCCAGGCGGGGTGCCACGGGGGGCTCTGTGTTCAGGGAGGCTGGAACAGAGCAGAGGAGGCTGTGGTCAATGGCAGGACCCTGGGCCAGAGAGGGAGGGCTGTTCCCTGGCTATGAAATGAACATTTGTAGCAAACTCTTCTAACTGCTTAACACGTCCCAGGCATTGCTGTAGGCAGTTCACAAACAGTACACTTAATCCTCACACAACAGAGGAAGTAGATGCTTTTATCCTTATCACCCTCATTTGACGGGCATCTGCGGCACAGAGAGGTTAAGAAACATTTGAAAATCACACAGTGCCTTAGAGCAGGATTCAAACCTAGAGAACCTGATTCTGTAGCCACGCTCCGAGCCACTAAAATGCTTGGTTAGGGAGACTGAGGAAGCCACACATGAACAACTGAGCAAGTTTGAGCTGCCAGATCAAGAGGACAGGAAGAAAGCTGAAACGCATGAGGTACAGGTTACTTGCCCAGCTGACCCTGGACACACTGTCCATCAGCCGTCACTCAATTCAAGGATGAGGCGGGATCGTCAGCACCACGTGAGAAAAGAAAGGGACCCAGAGGCCCATCTGTGAGGAGTGCTGAGATGCAAAGGGAAAAACAAGAGAGCAACAGAGGGAAACCTGGGAGTCAGGGCTGCCCCCTCACTCACCGGTCACGCCCACGGTGGACACGGGGCCCACACGCCGGCCCCCGTGCAGGCCGTACAGGTGCATCTTGTACTTGCGCCCGGGCTCCAGGCCCCCAGCGGTCACCTCACGCTCCTCGCCCCCGACACGCACCACCTGGGGCCCGTCCCTGCCCTTGTACTGGACGGTGAAGGAGTCGAAGCGGCCCTGGGGGACGGTCCAGGAGAGGCTCAGCGAGTSYGGGGAGGATCCTGTCACCGTCAGCTCCCCCAGGAGGGGCTCCTCGGGGGCCTCCGAGGCCTCTGTGCTGGGYTCTGTGGGGCTGGGGGTGTCTTCCTCTGCAGCTGAGAAGGAGAGACACAGAGAGGGTGAGGCAGGGTCCCAGGTGATGTCCTTGGGTCTCCTCCCAAGCCTTGRCCCCGGCTCCGGGCCCTGAAGTCAGTTCAGAGAAGCCCGTCCTTGGGGCTGGGTGGTCCTGCTTAGCTGACATCTCATAAACATGCCTGGAGCCTCCGGGGTCAGCTGTGGGGGACCARGGCAGCCACCAGCATGGCTCACAGAGGCCCTTCTCTGCCCAGGGGGACACACTGGTCCTCAGGGAGCCTGGAGGAGGCACACAGGGCACCATGGCTCAGCCTCGAGTAGAGGGGCCTCCTGCACCCCACTCACCCATCACCTGAGAGAGGGTGATCCTCCCACGAGGTCCCACCCTGGGGCTTCCACCATCCACTCACTTGTCACCCCGATGACAGAGACGGGGCCCACGCGCTGGCTGTCATGGAAGCCGTACAGGTTCATCTTGTACTTGTGGTCTGGCTCCAGGCCCGAGATGGTGACCCCGTCCTGGTGCCCTGGCACCCTCACTGCCTTGGGCTGCCCGTCCCCATTCTTGTACTGGATCAGGAAGTGGTCAAACTGGCCCTCGGGGATGGTCCAGGAGAGGCTCAGGGATTCGGGGGTGGTGCCTGTCACTGCCAGCTCCCCGAGGTGTGGCTTGACGGGCGGCTCGGGGGGCGCAGTGGACGGGGCTTTGGTGGTCATGGCTTTGTAGTCTGGATCTGGACAGAGACATAAAAGACAGATGAGCTCTCCTCAGTCCTCAGTTCAGCATATAAAGTGGTGTATTACAAAATTAAAATAATAAGGAACAGGATGTGTCCACAGTAGCTCTAACTCTTATTCTTTCTGGTCCCTATATCAGCCTTCCTGTCACCTTACCCTCATCTGCCCTGCCCTCACCCCCTACCTACCAGCACCCCTTCTAGGACACAGGCTCACATGGCCACTGTGCTCTGGGCCTCCCTCCACTGGGGTCTCGTTGGCATCTTACTGCCTTTGGCTAATGTCTTGCCTCCCAAACAGCTCAGAACCCCTGCCCCACTTGTCCAGTCAGAAACCTGGAGTCTTCCTGGATCTGTTCCTGTCCCCAGCTGCCATCAGACTCAGAGCGTCCAATTCTCTCTCCCAATTTCCTCCTGTGTCTCCTCACTCCCCACACCTGCAGCCCCACCGTCCCTGTCTGGGCCGCCCTTACCTGTCACCTGGGTTATCACCTCCCCATGGGTCTCTCTGCCTCCCTCCTCCATCTGTTCTTCACAGGAAGCCAGAATGCGCCTTTAGATGCACATCTGATGATGTCAGTCTCAGCTTAAAACTGTGCACAACCCTCTCTATCCCCTGGAGAAATCCCTGGCTTCCTGAGCTCTCCACCCCATCTCTTCCTACCTCTCCACCCCCATCGCAAGACTATCTCCCCCACTCAGAGGATTTGGCACAAAATCCTCTCATGTGCCGTGATGTTCCTAGTTTCCAGGCTTTGTACCAGCTGTGACGTTGATCTGATGCACCCTTCATCTTATCTCTAGGTGTCACCAAGCAACACCTGCCCGACCTCAGGTCTCAGCTGTCCCGTGGGAACCCACGGGCAGGCAGGTGGGCGTAGGCATCGCTGCCCAGTCTCGGTCTGGCCGCGGGGCTTCCTGTCATATACACATCCCCCTTTGCTCCATTTGCTGGTTCACAGCCTGTCTGTGAGCCCCAAAGGATAAGAACTGGTTTCTCTGCCGTATCCAAGGTTTCTCTCAGTGAACTTCCTCAGTACTTGGCTCAGGCCACCCACATCTTTGTTGAACCATAGGCGTCATAAGTCTGTTAGTACCCAAACGATGAGGCTAGGGGGCGTTTCAGTCAAGACACTGCATTCTGAGCATGCTCTGTCTTCCTCCACAGCCTCCAGTCAACTACACAGAGGCTGAGCCTCTGAGAGGACTCAGGGATGCAAGTATGATTCTGTTCAATAGATTCTAAGAAAGTGTCCAATTCCTTTGTTGTGAGGAGTTTTAGCAAAGTGTGGTCCTTGGACCAGCAGCATCAGCATCATGGAGGATTTTATTTGCTTTTTTTTTTTTTTTTTTCGGTACACGGGCCTCTCACTGTTGTTGCCTCTCCCGTTGCGGAGCACAGGCTCCGGACGCGCAGGCTCAGCGGCCACGGCTCACGGGCCCAGCCGCTCCACGGTATGTGGGATCCTCCCGGACCGGGGCACGAACCCGCGTCCCCTGCATCGGCAGGCGGACTCTCAACCACTGCGCCACCAGGGAAGCTCCTATTTGCTTTTTTTTTTTGGCTGCATCGGGCCTTAGCTCTGGCACGTGGGATCTTGTTGTGGCATGTGGCATCTTTCATTGTGGCACAGGGGCTTCTCTCTCTAGTTGTGGTGCGTGGCCTCAGTAGTTGTGGCACGTGAGCTCTCTAGTTGTGGCTCGTGTGCTCGGTAGTTGCAGCGTGTGGGCTTAGTTGCCCTGTGGCATGTGGGATCTTAGTTCCCCGACCAGGGATTGAACCTGCGTCCCTTGCATTGGCAGACAGATTCTTAACCACCGGACCACCAAGGAAGTCCCTCATGGAAGATTTTAGAAATGCAGAATCTCTGGCCCCAGCCCAAATCTGAATCTGAATCTGCCCTTTAATAAGATCCCCAGGCCATCTGATGTCCTAAAGAAGAAGTGCTGTCTAGAATATTTATGTTTTCACAAAGATGGTAATAAAGGGAAACTCTTCCAGGACCTGGCTTCCCCACCCTGCATCCCACTCCCCCAAATTCACTTACCAGTCACGCCCACGGTGGACACGGGGCCCACACGCCGCCCCCCGTGCAGGCCGTACAGGTGCATCTTGTACTTGCGCCCGGGCTCCAGGCCCCCAGCGGTCACCTCACGCTCCTCGCCCCCGACACGCACCACCTGGGGCCCGTCCCTGCCCTTGTACTGGACGGTGAAGGAGTCGAAGCGGCCCTGGGGGACGGTCCAGGAGAGGCTCAGCGAGTCCGGGGAGGATCCTGTCACCGTCAGCTCCCCCAGGAGGGGCTCCTCGGGGGCCTCCGAGGCCTCTGTGCTGGGTTCTGTGGGGCTGGGGGTGTCTTCCTCTGCAGCTGAGAAGGAGAGACACAGAGAGGGTGAGGCAGGGTCCCAGGTGATGTCCTTGGGTCTCCTCCCAAGCCTTGACCCCGGCTCCGGGCCCTGAAGTCAGTTCAGAGAAGCCCGTCCTTGGGGCTGGGTGGTCCTGCTTAGCTGACATCTCATAAACATGCCTGGAGCCTCCGGGGTCAGCTGTGGGGGACCAGGGCAGCCACCAGCATGGCTCACAGAGGCCCTTCTCTGCCCAGGGGGACACACTGGTCCTCAGGGAGCCTGGAGGAGGCACACAGGGCACCATGGCTCAGCCTCGAGTAGAGGGGCCTCCTGCACCCCACTCACCCATCACCTGAGAGAGGGTGATCCTCCCACGAGGTCCCACCCTGGGGCTTCTACCGTCCACTCACTTGTCACCCCGATGACAGAGACGGGGCCCACGCGCTGGCTGTCATGGAAGCCGTACAGGTTCATCTTGTACTTGTGGTCTGGCTCCAGGCCCGAGATGGTGACCTCGTCCTCGTACCCCGGCACCCTCACAGCCTTGGGCTGTCCGTCCCCGTTCTTGTACTGGATCAGGAAGTGGTCAAACTGGCCCTCGGGGATGGTCCAGGAGAGGCTCAGGGATTCGGGGGTGGCGTCTGTCACTGCCAGCTCCCCCAGGCGAGGCGTGACGTGAGTCTCAGGGGTGGTAGAGGGAGATTCTGAAGGTTCATTCTCTTCCTCATTTGGGGCTGAACACAGACATGGAGAGAGAAGGACCTGAGAGAGGGGCACGGTGTCCACGGGGACTCTGCCCTCCTCCGGGCCCTCACAGCCACCTGGAAGGAAGCCGAGTGGGCAGAGTTCTTTTGCTCACCTGTCAGGGCCTCGACGTGCACAGGACCCACACGCTGCCCATCGTGGAGACCGTACAGGCTCACCAGGTATCTGTGGTCGGATTCCAGGCCAGAGAGGGTGATGTCATTCTGGTTGCCCCCTAAATGGACTACTTGGAGTTTCCCCTCCTCGTCTGTGTACTGGACCTCAAAGGAGTCAAATTCTCCCTCAATCACGGTCCAGGAGAGATGCAGGGTGTGTGGGGTGCCCTCCTCCACAGTCACCTCCCCCAGACGGGGCTCAGATGCTGGAGGGCTGGGGGCCTCAGTCTCAGCTTCGACTTCTTCCCTGGGGGCTGGTTCAGAGAGACAGGTAGAGATGGGTGACTGGTTTGTCACTGCACCAAGACTCTCCAAGAGGATGGAAGGAGGGGAGGAGGTGAAGACAAGAGGTCAGTAATAAAAAGGACCAACTACTGATACACATTGATGAATTTCAAAAGCATTATGTTAAGTGCAAGAAAAACACAAAAAACTGTGTACTGTATGATTCTGTTAAAGGAAAAGCTTAAAAAGGAAAAACTATAATGATAGAAAGCAATTAGTGATTGTCAGAAGCTGGGGGTGGGGAAACTGACTGCAAATGAGCATAGGGAAACTTCTGGAGTCAATGTTTTATATGTTTGTTGTGGTAATGGTTTCATTGAATTATGAGCTTAAAATGGGTGAATTTTATTGTATGTAAATTATGCCTCTATGAAGCTGATCCCTTCCCCCAAAAGAAGGAGTGTAGGAAGCTCTGAATTCGTGTGGCTCCATCAGACCAGGAGAGCCAGGCGGACAGGAGGCACAGTGTGTTCCCCCCAGCTGCACTCACCGGTCATGGCGATGGTGGAGATGGGACCCACACGCTTGCCCTCGTATAGCCCGTAGAGCAGCAGCTTGTACCTGCGGGCAGGGTCCAGGCCTGAGACACTGACCTCCCTGAGGCTGCCCTCCACGGGCACCACCTGGGGTTGCCCATCTCTGTCCTTATACTGGACCACAAAGGAGTCAAACTGGCCCTCAGGGACCGTCCACGAGAGGCCCACGGAGTCTGATGTCACGCTGGTCACCTGCAGCTCCTCCCCCAGACGTGGTTTTGTTCCAGCCTCGTCCACAGCTCTCCGGGTCTCTGAGATGGAAACACAGAGAGGAAATCGTTGCGTTGTTTCTTGAAGGCTGGGTGATACTGAAGGGAAGGACTGAGAGATCTAAAGACAGGGCTGTGCCATGCCTGCAACCTGCAGGGCTGGATCTTCCGGCTTGTGTAAGGAGAGGGGGCACTGGATCCCAGCCACAACAGCTGAAGCCAAACAACAACCGTGATGGCAGCCACCATAACTGACCACAAGGACCTTCCCCTGGCCTCCAGATCAGAGATGCCCCCCTGCAGGGGCTGCCCTCACCTGTGGTGCCCTCGGCGGTGAGGGGGCCATGGCGCCTCTTGCCCAGGAGGCCGTAGAGGAGGAATCTGTACTTGCGGCTGGCGTCCAGAGGGCCGATGGTGACTGAGCGCTCGTGGCCCTCTGCAGGCACCACCCGGGGCCCGTCCCTGTCCTTGAACTGGACCACAAAGGAGTCAAAGTGGCCCTCGGGGACTGTCCAGGAGAGGCGCAGTGAGTCTGGGGTGGGGTCTGTCACCCACAGCTCCCCGAGGCGGGGTGGGGCTCCTGGGCTGGTGTCACCTCGAGCAACTGACAGAGAGGAAAGGTTCTTGTGTTTATTTTTTTTTCCAAAACAACTCCTTGACTGCCTCCCACTGGAGAATGGAAAAACCCAGAACTGCCCAAATGATCAGTGCTTCCCCCCAATATTTCCATCACCCTCCCATGCCTGCCAGCATCCCCAGCTGGCCCTGCCTCTGTCCACTTAACCAGCGCAGGGAGGGGTCTTCTGTCCTGAGACATCTCTGGGGGAAGAGATTCCCTAGCTAGCTATTTATCTTATTCCTCTTGCTGTCCAGGCTCTAAGCACCTAGTAGAGACTATTTCCTTAGCAGGGTGCAGCTTATCACAGGCTTGGTCTGCTTATTTCCTTTGGCCGAGGAACCCACTCTTTGTGATCTGACTGCTCCCTGGGGAAATCCAAGGGTCCTGGGGATGTCAGAGGGGGAAAAGGATCCCTGATGGGGGCAGACAGCTGGTGGGGAGGTAAGATATTACGATGGAGGTGACCCTCATAGGACCCAGTGGAGGAGTGGGGGCTGCCTATGTATGAGGGGGGTATGGGGAGAAGAAGGGGAGCTCAGACGGGAGAAGGATCTGGTATCTGCCCAAGAAGCCATCCTGAGGCCTGAGAAGGAGCTGGCCTTCTGACTTCTTGGACAGCAAGGATGCTGACGGCATTGTTATTGTGAGAGTTTTCTGGCAACAGGGAGCCCCCAGGGGCAGGGGAGTGCCTGGATCAAAACCCAAGACAGGGGCACAGCTGGGCTGGGCCTGACTGGGTCTGATTGGGCAGCCAGTCTTGGGCTCCTCTGGTCCCCAGTTTCTGAAGCTCCAGGAAGAGGGCAGAGGAGGAAAGGGGTCCCTCTGGGGAGGCAGATATGGGACCCAGTGTGTCTGGGCCAGTAGGTGGGAAACTGGGTGAGAGTCAGAGGGAAGACTCCTCAGGAGGTGATGGCTACACAGGGCTGAGGACTCACAGGCCAAGGGAGGTGGAACGGCTCCTGGCTCCCTCCCCTGTATCTAGCCCTGCTGTTTCTCCTGTTCCACCTTCCAGGAAGGGGTCTGAAGGAGGCTCCCCCGTTCAATAGAAGTAGGAATTATGAGAAGAGGGGAAAAGTGAGCAGGGGAAACTGATCCAGGAACTGGCCCCATTTTCCTGGTTCTCATCTGCCTGGGATCGGGGCAGGCAGTGTGGCTTTTCAAATAAAACAGAAGAGGTGGATGAAGCGGAGACCCGGCGGAAGGGAGAGGTGATAGGGCAGCGTGAGGAAGGGCAGCAGGGCTGGGGCCTTAGGCTCAGCTTCGTGGGGGTCCCTCTCACCTGTCTTTGCCTCCACAGAGACTGGGCTGTGGCGTTTCCCGTCCTGGATCCCAAAGAGCAGGAACTTGTACTTCCTATCGGGCTCCAGGCCGACGATGGTGACCTCACGCTGGTCTGCAGCCACAGGCACCGCCTGGGGCTGCCTGTCCCTGTCCTTGTACTGGACCACGAACGAGTCGAATTCACCCTCGGGGACTGTCCAGGAGAGGCCCACGGAGTCCGGGGTCACATCCGTCACTGTCAGCTCCCCCAGACGTGGCTCAAGGGGGCGCTCTGTGCCCGGGGCTGGAGAGAGTGGAGCTAGGATCCAGGAGGACAAAGAACATGGCTGAGACCTCTGGCGGGAGAAATCCCCCCTCACAGGGCTCCTGGGCTCCGAGGGCCTTAGAGGGCTTTGAACTGAGATGGGAAACAGTTACATCTCTTTTGCACTGATCTCTAAGTGAAATGTAGCATTTCTTTCAATGATGAATATAGGAAAACAACCACGATGGTACTAGCAGTGCTTGTAACCCTGTCACCAATAGGAATCACAGAGATTGTCACATCACCTTAAAATTACTGCAGAAACTTCAAAATACCCTTTACAGAGATTGGTTCAAGATGGCAGAGTAGAAGGACGTGAGCTCACTCCCTCTTGCAAGAGCACCGGAGTCACAACTAACTGCTGAACAATCATCGACAGGAAGACACTCGAACTCACCAAAAAGGATACCCCACATCCAAAGACAAAGGAGAAGCCACAGTGAGATGGCAGAGGGGCGCAATCACAATAAAATCAAATCCCATAACTGCTGGGTGAGTGACTCACAAACTGGAGAACACTTATACCACAGAAGTACACCCACTGGAGTGAAGGTTCTGAGCCCAACGTCAGGCTTCCCAAACTGGGGGTCGGGCAATGGGAGGAGGAATTCCCAGAGAATCAGACTTTGAAGGCTAGTGGGATTTGATTATAGGACTTCGACAGGACTGGGGGAAACAGACTCCTCTCTTGGAGGGCACACACAAAGTAGTGTGCACATCGGGACCCAGGGGAAGGAGCAGTGACCCCATAGGAGACTGAAGCAGACCTACCTGCTAGTGTTGGAGGGTCTGCTGCAGAGGCAGGGGGTGGCTGTGGTTCACCATGAGGACAAGGACACTGGCAGCAGAAGTTCTGGGAAGTACTCCCTGGCATAACCCTTCCCGGAGTCCACCATTAGCCCCACCAAAGAGCCAGGTAGGCTCCAGCGCTGGGCCGCCTCAGGCCAAACAACCAACAGGGAAGGAACCCAGCCCCACCCATCAGCAGACAAGTGGATTAAAGTTTTACTGAGCTCTGCCCACCAGAGCAACACCCAGCTCTACCCACCACCAGTCCCTCCCTTCAGGAAACTTGCACAAGCCTCTTAGATAGCCTCATCCACCAGAGGGCAAATAGCAGAAGCAAGAAGAGCTACAATCCTGCAGCCTGTGGAACAAAAACCACATTCACAGAAAGATAGACAAGACGAAAAGGCAGAGGGCTATGTACCAGATGAAGGAACAAGATAAAACCCCAGAAAAACAACTAAATGAAGTGGAGATAGGCAACCTTCCAGAAAAAGAATTCAGAATAATGATAGTGAAGATGATCCAGGACTTC